CAGGCGTGATCGAATCAATCTGCGTGTGGTTAATCCAGACAAAAATGTCACGGCAGTTTTTGTAGCAATGTTTTTATCTGTGGTTGCTGAACTACGACCTGTTATTGATTCGGGCACGTTGCGCACACTGGTACAGCTACTGGATACGAATGTGGTCATGGAAAGTGGAGCCTTTCCTCCTTCCTGGTCATTCTTCGTTCAGGATCTGATAAAAGGTAGATGTGTTGCTGGTCACTTTTTTGTATTTTTGCCTTTTTTTACTTTTATTTTTTGAAATAAAAGAAATTTTGTGTAAATAAAAAGAAAACGAAATTTTATGCAAGAAAATGAACATTTTATGTAAGTGTTATTATTTTAAACCGACGCTTTTTTGTCGCACTAACGTATTGTCTATAATTCTGTCTCCCTTCCCTGCTTAGACGCAGATCGAAGCAAAATAGCTAATTTTAAAGCTTTTTACTGGTTGCTCCAAATTTTTCACGCTGCGTTGGTTCTTTTCAAAGAAAAGAACTGGGACTGATGTTGCCCCAGCAAACGACAAGCTCCAGTCGACTTTAATTTGTTTCTTGAGCAAATTTCCGCTTGTGCAACATTCCACAGGTCCTACACTAATTTGACGAACTGGTTTAATACGCTAAAGCATTTCTCTCTCCCTCACCTCTTCTTCAGACAAAGTGCAATACAGCAGCTTGCTTAAGTATGATATGTAGGATGAGTGACATCAAGAAGCATATTAATGATATTTCTTAGGTATGATAACGGAAATGATGTGGCCGGAGATGAAGAAGCAGATCGAGGAGCTTACATACAGCGAGGGAATTCGCTTAGCTACATCGTGTGGTATTGTTCCAGAAAATGCCGAAATTTTGATTGGTGAAGGACGGCTGGGCGTTGGAGCAACGCTCAGTTTGCAGAATCTGCAGCCGCAACACTGCATCAAAGATCTCAGAAGCTCGTTACCAAATGCTGCTAAATTGTTTCCAAAATAAATTTTGTTATCTAAAATCAATCGCCGGAAGGCTTGTTTCTTATTCTGCAATGCGCCAGTTCTGGCTATTGCAGTACATTTTCAGCTACTGCTTTTCCGACATTACAGCTTACGCAGTTAGCTGTCGAAGAAATTCAGGATAAGACATCTGGTTGATTTCTTGATTCGCTTATCAAGTGGTACGTAGTTAATGCTCCGCTGAATAAGCCATGAGAGAAGATAAAATACGCTAAGGCTCATAAACCGCTCGAACTGCCAATAACTCGTGTGCTCTCACATGTCGGCAAGAACGGTTTTGAATGAACTGAATATGAATTAGTATAACTGCGGGCAACGTCTGGTTCCGGCATTGAAAGCCCAGCAGTGCCGGTCATCCGAGCTCGGGTCCTGGACATGATTTATCCCTGTGAAGATGAGGGCCCGGTTCAACCGAATGAAAGCCTCGTTTATCTTCTTCTGCCGTGTCGAAACTGGACGGAGAGAACAAACCCAGGCTGGAACGCACCAGGCGGGCCGGTGCGATTATGCGTTTTTGCACTTCTCGTGC